GCTCGCTATCTCTTTGTCTGTTCTGTTGTCACAAACTGAAGTCCTTATGCTCGCTATCTCTTTGTCTGTTCTGTTGTCGTAAACTGAAGTCCTTATGCTCGCTATCTCTTTGTCTGTTCTGTTGTCACAAACTGAAGTCCTTATGCTCGCTATCTCTTTGTCTGTTCTGTTGTCACAAACTGAAGTCCTTATGCTCGCTATCTCTTTGTCTGTTCTGTTGTCGTAAACTGAAGTCCTTATGCTCGCTATCTCTTTGTCTGTTCTGTTGTCGTAAACTGAAGATGAAAAGTCACTCTGTAAAACAAATCAAATTCAAAGCTCATTTATTTGTGTTTTGTACGTTTGTTTGTTTTTTACAATTTGTTCTGGAAAAACTGCAAAGTTAGGAAATTCTGTGAAAATTCTGTGATTCTGTAGAGATGTAATATTTAAGAATAGTTATGAACATTTGTTTGAAAGGCTTGGAAATAATTATTGTCTGTTGACCTCCATTGAGATCAGTTGATTTTATATTTAGTCAAACTTGTTTATTTTTAGTCTTCTTTTTTCTTATTCAAAATCATTTTTTATCTGCTGCTGTATTGTGCGAGATTATCATTTTTAAAGCCTTTTTCGAACAATTTCTTTTTGTACCTACTTACTTTTCACCCGATCTCTCAAGGCCGTTTAATAATGTTTTGTTTTGTTTCACGTCTTTTCTTGGTTTGCGTCTTCGTAATAATTCAAATGTTTACTTTGAGAAATGGGAACTGTTGGATTTGTTTTTCTGTTTTGTGACCATTTGGAAAACATTTGTGAGGCAGCGTGGTGGAATCAGGCTCTCATCAAAATAATCAAAGTGAAGAAACTTGCATTTTTCCGCAGGTTTGAGAATTTTTATCAAATCTTTGTTTTTTGGCTCAACACCTTTCATGCCCATGAAAAAACTCATTTCTGTCTGGGTTTTTCTGAAAAAAGTTGATTAGAGGCACAAAAAATGTAAATTTTCAGTTACCACGGACTCTTAATCTAAGGAAATATAACTAATCTTTGGCAGCCATTTTCTTACCAATTTTACCTCTGAAAACAGGTGACCCCCATCTCCTTCATTTGCAAATATCTCGACTTGTATTCAAGATAAATTGATATTTTTTTCATTCACATAAAGACAAGTGAACAAGCTTTAGGGTGATACCAATAACTCTACATGCCCCAAAATGGACGAGAGCCTGATTCTACCACGCTGCCTCACATTTATGATTGTATCTAGCAGGCGGTTGGAGAGTGCCACTTTTGTTTTGTTTTTGTCTTTTTGCTCTATCTGTTTTCTGTTTGTCTTGCTGTTTCCTTGCACGAAGTGATAAATGGCAGTTATCTCATTGATGGGTTTTGTCTTACTCAAACTCAATTATTGTACTGTTCAAATTGTTTTGAAGATTTTTTTTTGAGCACACGCTATGGTTTTGTGGACTATTTTAACTTGTAATCTTTCTGCTCCTATCGTGTTTTGCTACCTGCCGCAAACGACATGCCTTGCCGACTACTCTGTTAAGTGAAGAAAAAAAATTTCAGTTTGTGGTATTGTACTGTCCCCGTCGTTTTATGCAAGAAAAATTCTGAAATTACGCGAACTGAGTCCAAAAGTGAGAAATTATGTGATTCTGTTTTTCTTAACAAAAAATGATAAAGGAAAATAATCAGAAATTATGCAAAAAAAATGATCAAATTTTGCTAAAATTATGCTGGGTGCATAAAACCACAGGGACAGATTGTAATGATTTCTGTGCCATTTGTAGGGGATGTTTTGTCTCAACATTGTGTTTCAATCCCAAGGCAAAGAGATCCCAGCTGTGCCTTCTCTTCCACATGCCACAAATTTGGTGGTCTTGGGTCGTCTTCACAGCAAACTCCCGCACTTCCCAGTCACTTGCACCACTGTAACTGTAACCATTACTGTGCCGATGTGCTTCACGCTGTTCTTCCGTTAATAAATGTTCATGTAGAATAGGCAAGGGCAAAACTAAGACTATGTATCCTTATGCGCGACGCAACGTAACGTCGCATGCGACAGTCGCGAGATGTGTATCCTTATGCGCGACACAACGTAACGTCGCATGCGACAGTCGCGAGATGTGTACTCTTATGCACGACACAACGTAACGTCGCATGCGACAGTCGCGAGATGTGTACTCTTATGCGCGACACAACGTAACGTCGCATGCGACAGTCGCGAGATGTGTACTCTTATGCGCGACTAAGTTGCGCCCAAATTTTCAGTCGCGTGCGGCAGAAGAGACAAAAGTGTCTCCTTATGCGCGACACGGCACGCGACTGGTAAATCTCATGCGCGACTCTCAGTTCACAACAGAGAAACAGCAGCAAGTTATTTTTGGCACATAGCCTCAAGCCTTGCCTTCACCGACACACACACACGCACAGACACACACACACACACACACTCTCCCCACACACTTTGTCTGTGTTGTAAGCGATGGTGTGATGATTTCTTGGGCGCTGTGTGTTACATTTCACCCAGACCTGCTAACCACTCCATGACCGAAAATTGAAAAAAATGTCCTCAAAATACTCCCAGTCCCAAAGACAGGAGAGAAAAAATTAGTCTCCAGAAAGAATCCCAGTAGAAGATTAATTAAGATTATTTACCAAAGCTATGGTGTGTTATGATAAGCCCTGCAAACATAAACATTTTATGTCCATTTTCCCATCATTTACGATCGATAAGTGGCATATAAGACTTGATGGAAACAGGATTTTTAAAAATTTACTGGATTTCTTGCAAATCAGTTTGGGGTTCTTCAACTGGCAAAAAAAAAAAAAAAAGAATCCGAGACCTTGGATTTGACCGGAGTGCTTGTCGGGTCTGGTAACCTATACTTTATTTATGCTCCACTTCATTTCTGCGTTACAAGAACAAAAGTTGTCACGCTACTCGTTATGTTCTTGAATGTAGCTTGAAATATAAAACCAGATGCTTTACATCCAGTTACAGACACAAGTGCTTTCATTCACAGTTTTTGTATGATCTTTCACTGGTTCAGACTTATTTCCCCGAAAGCAAAGGACTTTTTCTTACATAATATGTTTACTGGATTTGTACGTTTTTCCCCCATGTAACCATTACCTCAAAGGAAAGTTTCTTTGAAGTTTCAGTAATGAACTGTATTCATACACATATAATATGTGCAAATTTAGTAATGCACCCTCTTTTAAATTCTTTCAGATTATATTATATTTCATTACAATTTATTGTTTATATTTGATCTACACTAATTTTTAATTTGTTTTCATGACCAAATCCGTAGCAAGTGACATTGGCTGACTGTCAGTGGCGAGCCAGTACAGTACTCGTGGGCTTTGATGTTGTGCCTGTGGTCGCTGTGATGTTTTCTGATCCGCTGGTCACCACACCTAGCACTCTGCAGTCTTGTGCTCAAATTCTATAAATTGGGAGTAGGGAAAGGTTCTACAATTTATGTTTAACTTTTATCACAATTGATTAATTATGCACTTTTTATTTCCGTGTCATTTTAGGTTTGAAAATGCAGGTGGGGGAGGGAGTGGGGGGGGGGGGGAATGGAAAGTGGCCGCTTGTACACAGGGATGTAAATCTTCCGGCTTTTTCCGTTTTTCCGGCTGACTTGCCATTTGGGCCCCAGCTTTTAACAAAAGTCTACTGTAAACAATACATTATATATATATATACTAAATAGAGATTATTTGTTGTAATAGAGGGAAAGAAACAAATATAATTTAGTCTCACTGTATTCTTTTTTCAGTCAGTGCGCGGGCGCCGTATATTTTCCAGCTTTTTTTTTCCAAACCTGTTTCCATCCCTGTGTACAGGTGATTGTCTTATACCGGTGGCCGTCACGCAGTTGCAGCGACTGTCATTTGCTCCTCCTGATCAGCTGTTCATGACATCTCCCTTGCCTTTTCTTCATCTATGGTGCCGTGCCGTCTGAGACAAAGACGAAATGTTTCACAACTTTTGTTCCTGCAACAGTTTATATGTCTGCCTGACTTTTACTCTACGTAGACCAGTGTAGCATTATCATTTGTGAGGCAGCGTGGTGGATTCAGGCTCTCGTCAAAATAATCAAAGTGAAGAAACTTGCATTTTTCCGTAGGTTTGTGTATTTTTATACAATTTTTGATTTTTGGCTCAACACCTTTTATGCCTATTAAAGAACTCATTTCGGTGTGGATTTTTCTGAAAAACGTTGATTAAAGGTATAAAAAATGAAAATTTTCAGTTACCATGGACTCTTAAGCTAAGGAATTAACTAATCGTTGGCGGCTATTTTCTCATTAATTTTACCTTTGAAAACAGGTGACTCCCATCTCCTTCTTTCGCAAATATCTCCACTTGTATTCAAAATAAATGGAATTTTTTTCCCTCCAAATAAAGACAAGTGAACAAGCTTTAAGATGATACTAATAACCCTAGATGCCCAAAAGTTGACGAGAGCCTGACTCCACCGCGCAGTCTCACATATGGTTTTGCTTACAGTGAGTTACACAGTGGGTTTTGTACGATGCTGAACTGAAAGACAGAAAGTTGGGGGAAATCTTTCTAGATTGAAGTAGCAGCCCCAGTGTCATTATACACCACAGGAGATGCAGTTGCAGGATTAAATTGGAAAAAGTATGAGTTGGATGATGGTAGTGATAGGACTATACTGCCTTAAGCTGACAAAACGCTCTTTAAAAAAATTCACAGCAGTTTTGAGAAAAAGTCAGCGTAACCATTTAAAGTATAGAGTTCTTCCAAAATTTGAATTCTAATTTATTAAAAAACTAGTCTCTGTTTCACTTTTGCTTTTTTCACACAAGTAGGGTAACTGATCAGGCTTTCGATTTAGCAAATTGAAAATTTTTGCACCAAAATGAGAAAAGATATTTTGTCTGCTTTCAGCTTTATATAATAATAATTTATGCATAATTGGATCACTTTGTTGTTGAATACAGTCAGACTATTTTTCGACAGTTTAGTGTAAAACTCCACCGTACACCATTTTGAAAAGTGACGTATGACGGAGTCGTACACTGAGCAGACATTCTGTTTTCGCTGTGTATACATATATTATGTCAAGTATGTGCTCAGCTTAGGTTTTTTTGTGGAATAATGATCACAACAGTTCTGTACTGGTAAGCATTAATTTCTTAGGCAAAGTCACGGAATTGTCAAGTTGGACTGTGCATAATTCTCTCCCCGCGGTTTTATGCCCCCAAAAATTCTGAAATCATGCAAATTGAGCCCTAAAATGTGAAATTATGCGATTCTGATAATTTTAATAAAAGAATGATAAAGGAAAATAATCCGAAATTATGCAAAAAATTATCAAATTTTGCTAAATTATGGGGGGTGCATAAAACCCCGGAGACAGATAATTTGGTCGGTTATTATGTTGAATACATGTAGGATACTGTGAGTGTGAGCTGAGACAGTTTTCTTTTGTTTGGTGTAAGTGAACATCTTAAAGCAGGTTTTTTTTGTGATGATCAAAGCAGATTGTTTTTTGTGATGATCAAAGCAGATTGTTTTTTGTGATGATCTATTGAGTTTGAGAAAAAAATAGAGGAGAGTTTCAAGGGAAGTGTTGAAAATGTGAGAGTGTGCTGTGTACATTATTCATCAAGTACCAATACCATTACTATGTCTGATATAATGCTGCAAATTCTGTTGGTATTATTATGAAATAGAAAAAAATGTCCTATTTTTCTTGTTGAAATAAAGACTATTCTCAAAGCTTCGATTTGATTTTGAATTGGAAATTGTTGAATTTTTATATATGTTATTATATATTGATTTCTTAAAAACAATCAGGAAACAACAAAAATACAGTTTTTGGGACACCTGAATTAGTGAATAGATATAATTAAAGGTCTTGAACATCTAGCTCTCACTGGCAAAATTGAAGGCAAACAAGGCATGGGTAGGCCCAGAGCAATCTACTTAGGGAACCTAAACAAATGGGTTTCGGGGAAAGGTCAGGGTAACATAGCTTTTTTTATAAGAGCATCCGAGCAAAGGATTGAATGGAGACTGCCATGATCGCCGTTGTCTACCGCAGATCTGGCACTGGATGATGATGATGATGATGATGATGATGAGGATAATGATTTACAGTATAACACGGACAGCTCGAATTCGTTGGGACCGGCCTTTGTAGTTCGAGGGATATCTTACGAAGATTTTTTTTAAAAACGGGACCGCAGACACAGTTCTGCAGATGCATGATTTCAAGTCTTCTTTGTTCGAACTATCCGTGCTATTTGATCTCCTTGGCTATACTGTATACATGGGTGGTTTTCGGGTGCTCTTCTGTGGTTTGCTCCTTCTTTCCTATCAAACATCTACCGTCCTGATCTCTCCTCCTTCTCTTTTGTGTTTGTTCACTCTTTGTATTGTAACACCTCTAATCTTCGGCACTTATATGACCTTATTGTGTTGCAAGTGCCGTTAAACTCTTACTACAACTAAAAATACTGTATACAGATAGCACTCTTACCTCAAACTCAATGGAAAGTAAAGTACGCCTTGTGCTGATGTCAACCTTAGCACTGTGTAGATCAGAGGTCTCACAAATGAAGAGTGGGATGTTTTTGTGCCGTGAACCGTACTAAACTAAGACAAAAACGCATTCTCATCTTTGGTGACAGTCAGGAATATTGAGCACAGATTCATATCCCTTCAGTGACGCATATATATATATATAAATTTGTGTGTAT